TAGAAGCAGACCAGCAGAGGGAACTACAGTCACCAAAAGAAGGGAAATAATAAACATAAAAACAAAAAAGTCTGTCAACCTTGAGATGAGAGAAAGAAGAGGAAGGATCGGTTGATCCAAAGTTTGGGGAGATTTGGGAATTCCTGAACCCATGGACACTGACCTAGCCACAGAGGACTAGAGCTAAGAGTGAAGTGTCCAGCTGATATGAAGTGGGGGAGGCACACAAATGCAAGAGTGACCAAACTTGCAGACAGTGCCCATTTGACCTAGCTTGGATGGCTTACTGATCAGAACTCAACTAGTGGAAGATAAGTTTGATATAGGAAGCAAGTGTAAATTGCTGCAATTTGATGAATTTGACCTTTGCTTATTGATATGTTGTTGTTATTATGTGCCGTGGTATAGTTGCTCAAAATACTAATCAAGAGGGAAGGAGGCTTCAAATCAAGGATCAAGTCTATCCCCTCAATACGTAAGGTTGATAGGGATGGGCAATTTAGTCATTGGCTACCTAAAATGGGGGAGCTATAAAGGCACGAAAAGGCTGGTTTACAAGTTTTCAAGAGCAAGCTTAGTTTCAGAGTGAGGGACGGGGAGGGTAGAATTCCCCTAAATAGTTTCCAGGTCTAGACAGGTCTGGTGAAAGGAGATGGGGATAGGATTCTTTTGATTTGGTAGTGAGTAATTATTATTATGACTAATCATGATTGTCACAATTGTACAGGTAGAAGAGAGGATTAGAAATCTTACATTTCAGGAACAGAAGACCCTAGAACAATCAAGAGGGAAGAGCATGAGCGGAGTGAAGGATCCTAACCAGAGAAGCATCGACACCAGAGGCAGAGACAGAGGCAGAGGTGATAGCATGGAGAGACAGAGAAGCTGAGGACTCTAGACTTAAGGAAAGAGAAAGGTGTGCTGGTGGGCAGGAGACTGATTTGCAAAATGTGCCCTTTGGTTGTTTAAACAATCATATATTCCTGTGTATTTTGTGTACATCAATAAATAAATAAATAAAAATGAGGGAATAGAGGCAAATACTCTTAACTTATGATGCACGGAGGGAATTGTAATCATTGTAGTGAAACAAAATATGATTGGTTGAGTGCAAAACCAATGTTCTGCCATGTAAACTATCACTCAGTTCACATTAAAAGCTTTTTTTAAAAAAACAAAAAGGGCAGGATTAGTCCTTCTTGGGCCAAGAATTCCTACCAAGTTCAGAAAGATCCATTTTACTCTGCTATCTGAACTACTTGGGTAAACAGCCCACCTGAAGAACAGAAATTGTTGTTTTATGTGATGATCATTGTTTCTATGAATATTATAAGCAAATACCACATGAATCCTGATTTGCTTGCAAGTAGAATACAGGACTGGGTCATAAACAGTTGAGAAGAAATTTGGTGAAAGAAATCCACATGGAAACTTTACAGTGACGCTTTTGGTATTTGAAACACTGTTGGCACTGCTTACAGCATCAACATTATGTAGCACTATCAGCTGACAAATAGGGCCCCACTCACTGTGGACAGACTTCAGTGGAACTCCCTGATTAATACAGAATAGAAAAAGGTTTAGCAATCTACTTCCAAAGTAGATTAGACCATGAAAAGCCTGAAATGAAAATGAATATTGTCCCTTATAGTGCTGGGCGATGAGCTTCCCCCAGGTTGGAAGGCATTAATAGAGCCAATAATGGGCTCCAACTTACCATCAATTGAAGATGGTGCAGGCCAGGCAACATTTCATTCTGTTATACATCAACTAACAACCAGCAACAATCTTTACAGATTTAGAGACTAATGTGATGTAGGAACTCTGAGCGCATTCCCTCCCCTCTTTCTTCTAAATTTTACCTGAATCTAGAGAACCAGGTTTTGATCTGAGCACAGTGGATAATGTATTCATGTTATTTAATATCTAAAAGGATAGGAGAGTAATGAAAAGCATACTTAGTAAGTAAGGATGTTTAAAACTTGTTCATAATGGAATGTGCTATTTTGATTATTATATACCAGATAAAAAGAGGTTTGAATATTAGTTGGTACAAAGTGAAGTGCTTTTTAAATTAAGGCTGTATCCTTTCTTACATGAGAAGAAACAAAGTGGAACTTTGCCCAAAGTAGTACATTTGATTTTTCTCATAACCAGAGAAGACTGTGTTATGGCTTTTGGATTAAGGAGACAAAGTACACTGGTTCTGGTGCAGTGGAGTATGAGCAGAGTCCAAGTCAGATTAAAGGGGTGTGACTTGCAAAGATCTGCTCTCACCCTCATATTAGTGGTGTGATTGACCTAGGAGTTTTTGTAGTTGCAGTACATGTGTTGAGAAAGTGCAGTACTGGAAGAGTGCCAATTTGCCTAATAGTTTATTATGTCAAACAACCTGAATTGCTTGATGATGCAGAAAACAGAGCTCCTTCCTGTGTAGCGTGCCCTTAATGTGATGTTGATCCATGGCCAGTGACAATTAAAATATGCAATGTTAAAATCAGTAATTGCTGCCTTTTTGTTGTTGCTTTGTTTTGGATCTAACTTTTTTCCCCTCATTGAGAAGTAGATATGTGTGTCTACAGGTAGTGTCCAGGTTACTAACCCATAATTGAAAAGCCACACTGGTAAAGTTCGAGGTACATGTGGTTTCCAATAACAAGCAGGCACTGCTTTGTGACTCACATTAAAACATTTTTACTGTTACTGTATTACTATGTTAAAGATGTTTTCACGTATCTGAAGTGTTCCTTGAATGTTTTTTATGCACAGAAAGGTAAATTATATACTATATATTAAGACAAGCATTTGACTAACTGATGATAGACTATTCCAATTTATATGTAAATTTGACTTAAAGACAAATTAGGAACCAAATTTACTCATAATCTGGGGACTGCCTGTATTTAAATTACCAAAAATGTTGTTTGCCTTTTAGGGGAAAAAAATAGTGAATGGTGATTTGTAACTGAAAGTTACATCCTTAGATTTTTTTATGGGGTAGGGAGTGAGAGCAGATGAGAGTGGAGAAAAATGGTAAAGTGTAAACAAGAAAATGATTTCTTACTACACAGATACAACTATGGAGTCCTGGTATCACACTGCAGGCTAGTGTGGATCACAAGGTCAGTTTGAGCCACAAGGTTGGTGGTTCAACCCCACCAGCCACTCCTTGGAAACCCTATACAGGGTCACTATAAGTTGGAATGGTCATGACAGCAATTAACAACAACAACAACCAGATACAACTATATAGTTAATATTTTGATGCATTTTCTTTTAGATCTTTCTATGCCTATCTTTAAAATTTTATTGTAGTGAAGACAATACACAGCAAAACAATTGCCATTTCAGTAATTTTTTATATGTCCAGTTCAGTGACATTCATTACATTCACCATATTGTGCAACCATCACCACTACCTGTTTCCAATTTTTTTCATTACCCTTAGCAGAAAATTAGTCTATACTATTTTTAAACACAAGTGATAATATATCCTATATACAGTTATACATTTTAAATCTTTATATTTAATATTTCATCATAAGCATTTTCCATGTCATACTTCAAAAAAATTATTTGGGGCAAACATTTAAGGATGGCATTACATTTCATTGTATTGCTGTACCACCCTTTAAATCTTTGCATTTTAAATGATTTCTTTCTCTTGTAATTAATGGATGTGTCAAGCTTTGTTTTTTTTAAAAATAGGAGTATACTAAAATTGCTTTATATATGTTGTTGTTAACTGCTATTGTGTCAATTCTGACTCACAGCAAGCCTTTAGAAGATTTCTGAGGCTGTTAACGTAGTGGTTATGAATTGGGCTGCAAACCTCGAGGTCAGGAGTTTGAAACTAGCAGCTGTTCTGCAGGAGAAAGATGAGGCTTTCTGCTACCGTAAAGATTTACAGACTCGGAAACCTTGTACAGGGTCGCTATGAGTTGGAACCCACTCCATGGCACATAACAACAACAACAACAACAAATCTGTGCAAGAGCAGACATTTTCATCTTTCTCTTGAGGAGCAGCTGGTATGGTCAAACTGCGCACCTTGTGGTTTGCAGTTCAGTGCTAATCCTATGGAGCCATGGTATTCCCTGTTTTATGTATAGACCTTCATTATACTTACAGTACCTTTGCCCACTTTTTTTTTTTCCTGTTATTTGTTATGGTATTGAAGATTTATGTTTGAAGAAGTTAAATCTATTCCTTTTATCCTTGGTAAAATTCCCATTACTTTTAAGTTTAAAATTTTCTTTCTTATTTAGAAAATAGTTAAATTGTAAATATAAAATCTCAAGGCATGAAAAGGTAACAGCTTTAATTTATCTGCAGTGGGTTTTAATTTGTGACAAAGGTATACTTTAATTTTCCCCCCAAACAACTAACTGAGTTTATTCAAAAGTAAGTAAATCTGGTATCTATTTTGACTCAGTTCTTAGCTCATTACTCAGGTGCTTATTTTATGTTATTGAAAAAGGCCTTTACGTGGAGTTTGAGTCTTTGTTTCAATTGTTTCTGAAACCTCACTATATCCTGGTTTCTGAAACCTCATTACATTTTTCCAAGAGACACTTTTTTTTTTAATTTAAGGTTTTTATTGTGGATTGAGTGAAAGTTTACAGGGCACATCATCAGTTTTACATTCAACAAATCATACACCTTGTTTCATTGCAATGATTATAATTCCCTCCATGTACCATGAGTTAACAGTATTTCTCTCTATCTACTTTAGCTTTTTTAAAAAACAAACAACAAAAAACCCACTCTGGCATGTATAATAATTTGCATTTCCAAAGGGTACATTCCTTGAGACACTTTTAAATATCCTTATATATTATTCTTTTATTGGCTTAAATCAGCATGATTTCTTTAATTTGTAACCAGAAGTTCTGAGTAACATAGTTCATCTTGTCTAAACAGGCCTGTTCAGTACTAATTTACTATGACTTATTTCAGAGGGAGTGCCTTTCCATTCACATTGGCCAAGCTGGTGTCCAGATTGGGGATGCTCTTTGGGAACTCTATTGCCTAGAACATGGAATACAGCCAGATGGTATCATTCTCAACACTAAAATGGATCAGTTGGACAATTTTCAAGTGGAACGTATGAATGCATCTTGTGATAACTTCTTCTGTGAGACAAGTGCTGGGAAACATGTGCCCAGAGCTCTCTTCATGGACCTAGAACCAACTATTATAGGTAATGTACGTTTTAATTTCTAGTGAAGGTGGGGATGATAAACATAATTATATGATTATTTGTTTCAGACTTTGTAATATCTTGCATAAAAACTCTGAAAATAGAGATAGAGAAATATTGAAGACAAGAGTTTTTGTTGACTTTAAGAGAGAATGTTTGACTTGAGTCTGATACTATATGTTGTTATTCTTGTTGTTGTTGTTGTTGTTGTTAAGTGCCGTCGAGTCGGTTCCGACCCATAGCGACCCTGTACAGGGTTTCGGAGGTGTAAATCCTTACAGGAGTAAAAAGCCTCATCTTTCTCCCGCGGATCGGCTGGTAGTTTCAAACCACTGACCTTAAGGTTCACAGCCCGATTCGTAACCACTACGCTACCAGAGCTCCTTGTTAGTTGCCGTCAATTCAGTTACCCAACTCATGGAAACCCCATACACAAAGGAGCAAAATGCGTCCCAGTCCTGTGTCATCTGTTGGGGATCAAAACATTATGATCTATTGGTTTTCATTGGTTGCTTTTTAGAAGTTCATTATCATGCCTTCTTTCTAATCTTTCTTAGGAGGGAACTTCTGTTAAAACTTGTAGAGCATCATAGCAACAGGTACTGCTCCATGGATAGAAGGGTGATGGAATCAAACCTAGATCTTCCACATGGCAAGAATTCTACCACTGAACCACAAATAGGCAATTAATTATTGCTGTGCAATAAGCAGCCGAAAAGTAGTGATTTAAAAAAAAACAACAATCCTACTTTGCTCATGAATCTCAAAATTGGGCAGAGCTCAGGAGTCCTGGTGTAGCTCTGTGGATTAATGTGCCAGACTGTAAAGTTGTTTGAACCACAAGGTTGGTGGTTCAAGCTCACCAGCTGCTCCTTGGAAACCCTATACAGGGTTGCTATGGGTCCGGAATGCCTCACAGCACTTACAACAACAGAGGGGATCATTTTCTTTGTTGTTTGTTAGGGAAACAAACAAACATAATGTATTGTTTGTTAGGGATACTAAAGAGGGAGCTGGAGAATTCACTTTCCAAGTGACTCATTCATATACCTGGCAAGTTTGTGCTGGATGTTGACTGATAACTGGTCTAGAATTGGGGGTGGGGCATTATTCTCTCTTGATAAGTGTCTCTCTATGGGCTATTATCTCTTTTTAGCAAAAAAAAGAAAGACCCCCTCCCCCAATGAGATAGATTGGCAGAGTGGTGGCAGCAATGGGCTTATTAAAAGCTTAACAACAATTGTGAAAAGGGCTCAGGGACCAGGCAGTGTTTCATTCTGTTGTGCACAGAGTCGCTACCAGTCAAAGCCAATTTGACTGCCCCTAACAAAAATGATGGCGTCCTGGTGTGGCACTGAGGGTTAATGTGCCAGACTGCAAAGTTATTTGAACTGCAAGGTTGGCAGTTCAAACTTACCAGCGGCTCCTTAAAAACCCAATACAAGGTCGCTATGGGTCGGAGCTGACTCGATGGCACTTAACAACAACAAAAATAACATGGGCTCTTTGGCTGCCTTCCAAAAGCAAGCATCCTATGAGAACAAGGCAGAAGTGTGTGTGTGCATTTCTATAATGGAAGTCAAATAGTGTTACTTCAGCAGTTCTTTATGGGTGAGGCAGTTACAAACACCATCCCAGCGGAGGATGATGGAGACCCTGCCTCTTGATATGGGAGCAGCAATGTCCTAGAAGAACATCTAAGATGGAAAATGTTTTTATAACCATTTTTGAAAACAAAATAGTCCATACTAGATTGGAGTTCATTGCTTTACCAGAACAAAGACAGAATCAAGTAACAAACTGATGGAGAAAGTAGATGGATGCCAATATGAATGAAAATATAAGAAGTTTTATTGAAAGGTTGAAGTTAAGAATTACCAAGGCCAAGATGCAAATAGTATATACTGATTCAGCATCACCCTGCAAGATGCTGTGAAACAATAAAATATAAGTTAGTAGTAATAATTTTAAGAACATGCTAGGCTAGTGTGAAAGCTAGTCAAAAAGTTCATGGAAAAATTTCATATCTTTGAATTCCTTTTTCCATGAACTTTCTGAAGCCCCTCATATGTATATGTAGCCCTAGTGGCACAGTGGGCTAAGCACTGGACTGCTAACTGCAAGGTTGGTGTTCAAACCCACCAGCTACTCTAAGGAAGATAGAAGAAGCTATCTGTTCCCATAAAGATTTTGAGTCTCTGAAACCCTAAGGAGTAGTTCTGCTCTGTCCTGCAGGGTCCCTACGAGTCAGAATCAACTCAGTGGAAATGGATTTAAGTATGTGCATATATATTGTCTCTGTTTTCCTGAAGCCAACATTCTAGTGGAGTTGTTGTTGTTAAGTACCGTGGAGTTTATTCCGACTCATGGTGACCCTGCACAGGGTTTCTGAGGCTGCAAATCTTTATGGGAGCAGAAAGCCTCATCTTTCTCCACAGAACAGCTGGTAGTTTCGAACTGTGGACCTTGAGGTTAGCAGTCCTATTCGTAATGACTATGCTAGTAGAGACCAATAAAACCCAAACAAATAGATATCCAATGAATGGTAGGAGAGGTGTGGTCATTTCTTGTTGTCAGGGAAGACTTTACTGAGAAGGTGGCTTTTGTAGGGATCTGAAGAAAATGAGGCATGAGACTTACCTCTATAGAAGAGATCAGAAAAGTCTTTGTGGACATCGTTATATTCCATAAGAGTCTTGAAGAGTTGGGGAAGGAGTTTGAGTTCACAGGTGAGAAAAGAAAAATCATGAGGTCTCACATTCAGACACCTGCGAGTGTTTTTTACCTGAACATGGAGAGAATGTTGATATGGAGAAATCATAGATTTAAATGATAATGAAAGTAGACCATAGGATCTTCTTGAATAAGATGCTTGGTCTGAATTTGACAGAAGATTTTGAAGAATGGATAAGGCAAGTTATAGAACTATAATTTAGTAAGATTAATGTCAGAGATATAATTTATTCAATAATAAATCCATTAATTTATAGATTTAACACCTACTATGTTCCAGGTGTTTCTCTGCTATTCATAAGGTTTTCAGTGACTAAGTATTCAGAAGTAGTTCGTCACTCTTTCTTCCTAGTCTGTCTTCATCTGGAAGCTCATCTGAAACTTGTGCACCATAGGTGACCTGTTTTGGAAGAAGTGCAGCCAGAGTGCTTGCTGGATGCCAAACTTCGTCTCTCATACTTTGGACATATTGTCAGGAGGGACCAGTCACTGGAGAAGGATATCATGTTTGGTAAGGTGGAGGGTCAGAGAAAAAGAGGAAGACTCCCAACAAGATGGATTGGCCAAGTGGCAGCATCGATGGACTCAAGCGTGGCAACAGTAGTGAGGTTGGCCCAGGATCGGGCAGTGTTTCATTCTGCTGTGCATAAGGTCATTATGGGTTGGTACTGACTCGGTGGCACCTAACAAGACAAGACAAGTTGTGCCAGGTATCATGCTGTGGGTTAATGCACCAGACCGCGAAGCTATTTGAATTGCAAGGTTGACGGTTTAAGCTCACCAACTGCTTCTTGGAAACCCTATACGGTGTTGCTATGTATCGGAACTGATGCAACGGCACTTAACAACAACAACAACAACGTGTGCCAGGTGAAGTCCCTTGGTGGACAAATGGTGTCTGCTAATAGAAAGGTTGTAGGTTTGAGTCCACCTCAAACTTCCTTGAAAGAAAGGCCTGCTGATCTACTTCTGAGAAATCATTCATGGAAAACTCTGTGGATCACAGTTCTATTGTGACATGCATGGAGTCACCACGAGTTGAAATTGACTCAACAGCAACTGGTTTTGAGTTAATCTGACCTATAAAGATAGTGAGTAAATCAGATACAGTTATGAAAATGTTGTAACCTTAGAACTTCATCTAAGGTTCTGATGTAGAGAATGGAGAAATGAAACAGATTTGAGTGATTCTGTTAAAACAGAGAAGAGGAACTAATTATTATTAGTTGGCAAATGAATGTTTGAGGCAAAAGTCAGAGGTGCCATCAAAATTTCACTGATTCAAATTGTACAGTCACTATGGAGAATGGCATGGCACTTCCTTAAAAAGCTAGAAATACAAATATGGTGTTGTTATTGTTATGTGCCATCAAGTTGGTTCCAACTCATAATGACCCTGTGCAAAATAGAATGAAAAACTGCCTGATCCTGCACCATCCTTACAATTGCTGTTACGCTTGAGCCCACTGCTGCTGCCACTGTGCCAATCCATCTCATCTTTTTTGCTGACCCTCCACTTTACTAACATGATGTACTTCTCCAGGTGTTGGTTCCACCTGGCACCATGCCCAAAGTATAAGAGATGATGTCTTGCTATCCTAGCTTTTAAGGAGCATTCAGGCTGTTCTTCATCCAACACAGATTTGTTTGTTCTTCTAGTCGTCCATGGTGCTTTCAATATTTTTCTTCAGTACCATGATTCCAATGCATTAGTTCCTCTATGGCATTTCTTAATCCATTGTCCAACTTGCACATGCATATGAGACTATTGAAAATACCATGACTTGGGTCAGGTGCACCTTAGTCCTCAAACTGATATCTTTGTTCTTGAATACTTTAAAGAGGTCTCATGCAACAGATTTGCCTAATGCAATACATTATTTGATTTCTTAACTCCTGCTTCCATGAATGTTGATTGTGGATCCAAGCAAAATGAAATCTTTGACAACTTCAGTCTTTTCTCAGTTTATCATTATCATGATGTTTTTTATTGGTCCAGTTGGGAGGATTTCTGTTTTCTTTACATTTAGGAGCAATCCATACTAAAATCTTTATCAGCAAATATTTAAAGTCCTCTTTGTGACATAAAAAGACATATTGCATACTCTTGTTCATTTTAGCGTTATTCATAATAGTGAAAAGATGGAACAACATAAATGTCTATCACCATATGAATGGATAAACAAACTGTGGTGCATGCATACAATGTAATACTATATTAAATTAAAGAATTATGATGAATCTACAAAACCTCTCATAACATGATG